CTCTCTCAAAACTCGACCATCCCCCCACTTTTTTGTTTTTTTTAATCCGAAATTGCTCATGCGTCCCTGTTTTTTTTTTTCCATTCAACTGATCAGTGCGCGAACGGATTTTCCATTTTTTTTTTCCTTTCTTTCTTTTTCAAAGGTCTTGATGGACCATGGATCAGATATGAATTACCGGAACAGATACTACACCTGATCGTGGGGGGATGGTCAATGTGGAAGCGCTGCTTTGGTCTTGTGCACCGACTGGGCCGGAGAACGAGCGTAGAACGGTGCAGTCAATGGTACTGGGCGCGATAGCCATAGCTGTAGCATGAGAGAGAGAGAGAGAGAGAGAGAGAGAGAGAGAGAGAGAGAGAGAGAGAGAGAGAGAGAGAGAGAGAGTAGCAAAGTTGAGCGTAGACAGTCGAAGAGAGTCGAAGTCGATCTCAGCAGCGTACAGTAGCATTGTAGAGAGTCGAAGTCGAGCGCATAAGCGTAGAGTAGCATCGTAGAGAGTCGAATTCGAGTCAGAGTGGCGTCAAAGTTATGCGTAGGCATGCGTAGGTAGCCGTCGACTGGAATAGCCGTTTGGCCGCCTTCCCCAGAAAAGTTTGTTACGTGGCCCTGCGCGTAGTGCCCTGGGGAGTGCGAATTTGCAGCCGGCTCCCTAAAAAAAGTAGTCACAAACCCCAGGTCTTCTGGCCAAGTGTGGCACTACCAGGCTGGGGTTTTGGAATTCGTGCAGGGCCGGTAGGCCTGGCCCTGTAGTACTCGCGCGGCACTACCGGGCCAGGGCCTACCGGCCCAGCTATCGTCTCGAAAACAATCAACACGCAATCTGGGCCGGGCGGTACAATGCCGACGACGGTCCAGATCGCGAGTTGATGCCATTGAAAACGATCAGCAGCCAATCTGGACCGTCGCACGCCAAGGAAACTGAGGGCCCAGATCGGCTGATGGTCACAGGCCGCCGAATAGCGATTGTTATTTATGTAGTGAAATTCAACGCAAAGAAACACGAGCAGTATTTGGTGTCATACCCACAGTCAATAAGCGAGAGCGCAACCGCACAGAAATTAGGAACTCCACTACGAAAAACCTGCAGGAGCACACACACATACATGCACACATCCACACATGTTCCAAAGACCATAATATCAAACCATCATAACAAATCATCATCAGTTAATGCGCAACAACTCCATGCAACGTCTTGATCCTCCTCATCTTACTTGTGCCACTTCTGTCTCCTTCCAGTACTCCACCCTTTCCTCTTCTACTCTTCTTTATCCAGCTACCTTTCCTGCTATTATTTCCCCCTCCTCTCCTCAATTTGTTTGTTTGCTTTTTTTTTTTTTTCACTTTCATCTTCCACAACGTCCTCCCCATCCATGCAATTCCAGTTCTCCATCCTCCTCCCGCTTCTTTCCTCCTCCCTTGTTGCTATTAACAACAACAACAGCCCATCCAACCAACACTCCAGTCTCCACCTAAGAAACATTCATGAAGGGAAAAACAATTTAAAACATCCATGAATTGCAATCAGAAGAGGAGGACAAATGACTCAAACAGAACTAGTTAACTGTAGGAACAACTTATCACTCAATAGTTGCAAACAGCATGTTTTCAGATAACAGCAGCTCCTGCACTTAGTACCCTCAGAAACGCATTTCCAGAGAAAGTAAAACAAGTACCCTCAGAAACGCATTTCCAGAGAAAGTAAAACAGGGCCTGCATAGCATTACACCCACTGACCGACTTCAGCTGAAGAGCAGACGTGTGAACTCTGCATTTTCCAGTGGCTGTGCTATGATCAGTTCTACATAGAACACACACAGTAGCCACCCCAATTCTCCAACAATCAAGAACAGACTTTTCAAGACATTTTTCCCCGAGTCATTGGGCGGCAAGGCCTCTCAAACTGATCTCGATCTGTACATATGGAACTCAAGTGGGGCTAGGTGATGCCAAGGATGAAATCCTAGCGATCCTCCGTAATGTCGAACATCCAGGAGCAATGGAGGCGCGGAACCTTGCAAGTCTCTTACATAAAGTGTGTCTCAAAACCAGGCTGCACTGGTGCTATGTCTCTGCTAAGCTAGCATGATCCTGGCCATCTTTACCACGTGTTTGTGCTTTCTTAGCACAAAGCTTTGCACATGCATAGCACATTGGGTCCTATTTTTCCACCTTCTGACATCGTAGCCAGCTGAAATGGCTGAGTCTTCATGACATTGCGAAGGCCAAGACTTATGTCACTGCAGACAAAATGATGTCCAATAAATCAATAATAACCCGAGCGCTCCCAGGCCTCTTCCACGGGCACCTGCTGGTTGTATGTCCTCTCTTTGCATCTCCTTTTCCGTACTGTCCACAGCACCATGGTTCTCATTCTTCTGAGTAGCTTATGTTCGTGCTTTTCTAACCCTTCCCGTTCCAAGAAGCCGGTGAGCTGGGTGAGAATATCATCTGGCATTGCCTTGTCCACCTGCCACACGTTGATGGCATTCTCCCAGACCTGTCTCGCTTTAGGGCAGGATGAGGCAGTGCCTAACATCTTCTTTGTCTCCCACGTTAAAAATGGCACTAGTTCATTCCTGCTTCTCCTTTGGTGTTGGCTTCTGTGCCCGTTTAGCCACAACCTGACCAGCAACTCTAAGTAAGCTATTAGCCATTGCAGACTTCTTAATTGACGATGTCTTATTGCCAGAATAGCATTTGACAAGATTTTTGGTGGTTGTGCTATTCCAATGCACAGGTGTTTCATCCATCTTTGGGCTAATATTTCCTATGCATTCACCGACCTCCTCCTGAGCCTACATCCCAATCTGGTGGTGTAGTTGAGGACGTTAAGTCTTTGCTCAGCGCTACTGGCACAGGGTTGCAATTTCCAAGCCCATTCTTTCGGGTCCACTTCCCATGTTTTGAATGATAGCATGCAGTGAGTAGATCGTCGCTACTGGCACAGGGTTGCAATTTCCAAGCCCATTCTTTCCGGTCCACTTCCCATGTTTTGAATGATAGCATGCAGTGAGTAGATCGTTCAGTTTTCAACTCCTCGTCCTCGATCACCTGGATTTTCCTTACTAGAACTTGTTCAACCGCCACTTGTTCCCTGCAGGTTTGTCTACTCTACTGGCCCACCTCAGCTATGTCATACATCCTTATGAATGACCACTCCTCTCCAGGGAACAAATTCTTCATGGGCACAGGACTGTTGCAGGAGGGCCTTCCAGCTCCAATGTTACCCATTCACCTTGTTTCCACTTACTGCCTCTTCTAAGCAGTATCGTCCATTCTTGCGGAACAGTGCACAGGTGGTTAGGGGACTGCCACTTTTCAGCTCTTGGGTTCACGGGTCCAAAGTTGAAATCAGGGTTTGGGGGTCAATTTTATGTTTTATGCATCTTGGGTTAGGGTTTGGTTCAAGGTTGCTCTCAGAACAGAAACCAGGATGTAATTCAGATATTGTCACAGATTGTGACAGCCCTTCCCGCACATCAAATTCAAATGGAAGGTCAATGTCTCCCGGGGGCCAATCAAGAGCACACTCCAAGAAGCAAACTCAACACAGAGTATCTCATTGAAACTGTGAAATTAAGTGTCAGTCCGGCATCAAAGTAAAATAAGTTGGGCAACTGAGGTGATCCTGGGGGGAATGGCTAGAGGTCAACGGTCACAACATTCACATCAAATTCAAATGGAAGGTCAATGTGTCAGGGGGTCAATCGAGAGCACACTCCAAGAAGCAAACTCAATGCAGAGTATGTCAGTGAAACTATGAAAGCAAGTGTCAGTCCGGCATCAAGTAAAATAATTTGGGCAACTGAGGTGATAGTGGGGGGAATGGCTAGAGGTCAACAGTCACGGGATTCAAATTATCCGAAAGGAATTTCGGTGAAAGGAAGTGGACATGCACCCCATTACTCAGGCGGCAGTAAAGGCCTGAGGGGCTTATTCCTTTGAAGAACCGTAAAAGGGTTTCACCCAGTTCGCGCAACATTGCAGATACCAGGACTCGATCCCCAGACCTTCCCTAGCCCAACTATATAGTTGCCCATTGACCCTGTGTGATTCGGACGGCCGACCTGTCCCTAAAACCGTGTACAAATGTTTTGTGTGTGCAGCTTGGGTCGTGTGGATTTGATCCGAAGATTAGTTGTTTAGAAGTCTTAAGGGTCGTCTGGAAGTTTCCTAAAATGGCAAATCTTCAGTTGACCTTTCGGAAGGGAAACTAGCCATACGTCCTCTGAAAGGTCAGTAGGTCGTGGCTAGAGTAGTGCTCGAAGAGTCAACTTGACCTCTCGCAGGTTGAAATGGCAGTCCGTCGATCTTTGAAAGGTCAAGAGTCCCAAGTCAACACCGAAGGACCAAGTGAAAGGGCAGTCCCAGTCCAGTCCGTTTTGCGGCAAGTACCAGTGTGGGACCGCACATCTTGAGGGCCTGGGACATCGGGCAGGCCCAAACCACCAGACAAAACAGTAAAAATAAAGAGGCAGCGATCAGTCATTCACTGATTATCTGGGGAACTACGAGGAAGCGCTGCTCGAGTGACTTGTGCGCTGAGTTCACCGGTGGTCAGCAAGAGAGCCCAAAGGTGGAAGAGGACAAGCGGCCATAGCCGCTAGAGTGGAGGAAGACGACAGCGGCCATAGCCGCCAGTGTGACGAGTTAGTAGTTAGCGTGTGTGTATGTGCAGACATTCAGGGTAGATTCAAGTGTTGTGTGCGTACATGCGTGTGAGTGTGTCTGGAGGTGGATACAGTGTTCAGATGGGAATTCCAGACTGGCGCTCAGACGCCATAGCCATGAGATATGACAAGTTGTTTTGAGCTGAGTTCCTGGCCAAAGACCATATCTCTGAGTTCTATGTGTGGGCGCTCTGCGCCATCTCAAGTCTGTTACTGATTCTGCATCTGTGGAAGTTTCTGTTGCCATCGCCAGCTGCATGTATGCATGTTGAACATGAGGTGAAGACAGGTCTGATTGCAGTGGTATCGAAGCAGGTTCCCGTTGTCTGCGCAAGCATCGCGGAGGTCGAAGAGGAGGACGGAGCCGACTGATGCGAAGAAGGAGATGATGATGATGATGATGAGAGAGAGACGCGTGTGAACGAAGAAGACCGCCATAGCAGACGGCAGCCATAGATGCCAGCTTGGAGAAGAAGAACCACAACGAAACAGAGAAAGTGACGGGAGAGAAGAGAGAGGTGACGAAGAAGAAGGTGATAGCAGCCATAGCCGACAAAGAAGAAGAATTCGGCCATAGCCGAGCTCGAGGACGAAGAAAAAAAGGGTGAAGTAAATGAAGGAGCCGAAGAGAGAGAAAGACGCAATACCCGGATGGTCAAGGAGTTGACCAGCAAGAGTTGACTAGCGAGAGTTGGCCGGAGAGCGTTGACTGGCACAGTTGACTAAGTTCACCATTGACCAAGTTTGGAGTGCGGAGTGAGCAGTTCAATCTCTTCAAGCCCTGACCCTTATCCTTTTATGCTCTATGGATGTTGCATACTCATCTTGGTACTTGGTACTTGCTGCAGTGAAGTTTGTCTTGTAGAGTTTGTCATGTCTTTCTGCATTGAGTCACACCAGTCCAGGTTGTTGTAGGTTCCATGCATGTGGTCTGATAGAGGATGACGGGCTGACGCCTGCACGGGACTTAGTAGGGGTGAGGTGTATCTGACGCTAGACGACCTGGGGAAAAGCCCCTAAGGACCGGTACAGACCGACAGACTGCTCTGGGTGGTACCACTATACCTGAACTCCGAGCTGCAGATCGCGTGTCCAGTCTGTCTAAGTCTTGAGAGAACTCTGGCTGTGCTCGTCTTCCCGACTGCGAAGTTAAATAATTCCTGAGCAGTTATAGGGGATCTCCTTAAATGCCTCCTGATCAGCCAGTAGTTCTGTAGTGACAGACTAGTAACAGTATAGTCTCGAGTAGTTGACACACGAGCAATTGGAAGCCAAAGCCAAGCAGGATTGAATTATGGGTGCACAGGCATCCAATGGGTGTGGAAAGATTGGAATGGGTTGCGAAAGCATCCGACGACAGTGGTAGCCTGGCTAAGGTGGAAGAAAGAACCTTTGTAGTCCTCTAAGCGGTCAGTGTCTGGGTGGGTTGGTCTAAGTGTTGAGGAGCGGAATCGTTTGTGATTGTGCCCTCGTTCAACATGGACGACTACGCCATGTTCGCCTTCATAATGGGCCTCTCCCTTTGGGGGCCCTTGCTCCATTTCCTCTTTCCGTTGGGATTCTAGCGGACCGTTTGTTGCACTGTGACTACTAAGTCCAGAATCCAGACCCTACCATATGGTAAGGAACAGGAGGAGATGGCTGCCGTAATTCTACGAGAGTGAAGGGAGAGATAGGAGAAGAGAGCCTTGGAGAAACAGGCCAAAAAGATGGCCTTGCTGGAAGAAGCAGCGGCCAGAAACAAAAAGATGGAGGAGGAGATGGAGGCGTGGAAGAAGGAACAAGAGGCGAAGTTGGCCAAAGAAGAAGAAGAGGAAAAAGAAATCAAAGAAGAAGGGCCCTGTTACAAAGGAGTAGAGAGAAGGAAGGAGGAGAGAGGAGCAAGTACAAGTCTACCCCCACCGGAAGAGGTGGAAAAGGTTGTAAAGGACTGGATGGCAGAATTATCTCTAGGGGAAGATACGGAAGCAGAGTTGACAGTCCCCTAGGCAGAAAGAGAAATAGTAAGAAGAGAGTTGGAGAGAGAAAAGAGTCCCCTGCGTCATCAGGCAAAAGAGCAGGAGAAGCAGTTGGAGTGGAAGTTACACCTCGCCAAGGAGAAGATGAGGCAATTAGAAATGGCATATAAGATGGAGGAGGAATTGAAGGCGGCAGAGGAGTGGCTGAGTAAGATGAAAGAAGAGACAGAGATAGGGAAAAAGATTGACACCCTCTCCGATAGTTTCACCTCTTTCTGGAAGCTCAGCGAAAATAGATAAGGCACTTTTGTGGGCATGATAAAGCACTGGAATCCATACGAGCCGGGTTCCACGACTTTGCCCAGGAGATGATGATTCATCTCGTAAACGAAATGCAGACCACAATCGATAGAACACAGAAGTTTTGCACCGGTGGGATCGAGGTGGCGAAGCAACTAGTTTCGCTAGGTTTCTCGCACGAGCCGCCCATTGTGAAAATCACATGGTCGCTTATTCTGCCATTACTAACCTCAACAATTTCTTTGCTGCACTGCGAGAACGTTTCGTGGATGGCACTAAAGGATTGAAGGCGTCCGACAAACTCCAAATTGTCCATACGCGACCTTCGAAGAGTGTGCATGCACTGAAAGCCGCTATGGACGAACTGATTGTTGTGTCTGGCCATGGAGTTATAGAAGCGCAACTAGTCCAACTCTTCTATCGTGTGTTGCCTGAGCAATTGTAAGGGCACTTCTTTAACAAGAGGCAGCAGTCTGGGATGACCTATGATCTCCTCAGTAGGGAAGTTGTTGCCTTCGCCGCCCAGTCCATATGCCAGTTACCACTTTCTGGCATAAGGACTTAGCTAAAAGAAGAAAGTGGAAGGGTCGCACCATCTCTGGCCAAGTTAAGGTCAAAGACAGTCTCATACTAACAATGGAAGAAGGTGGTGCCGAAGAAGTCCCCTATACTGACATAGAATGGGCAGTTGAGGAGAGGATAATAGTGCAGAGAGGTGGAGTTCATACTCTGCTGTCGCGGCCGCAGGGAGACCGCAAGGAGGAGGAGGAGGCCATGGCAGAGGTCGCCAAGTCTCAGGTGGTCGAGGGCAAGGCGGCTAGGGGGTTGGCGGAAATAGAGATCTAACCACCCTAGCTCGAGTCGGTCACCTCCCAGAAGGGGCGAATGACAACCAAGTCAGCCTGAAGCCAGACACTGGGAACCTCAGGCTTAGAACGTAATGTTTGGCAGGATCGCATGGACAAGTTTCAATGCGTGCTTTGTGGGATCCCGAGCACATCATCAAATTTTGCCCGAAGTATAAGAAGCTTAATCGCGCTGCACCTGGGGCAGCAAAAGGCAACCGCCGGTCGAGATAGCAACTGCCCCTACCCAAGGAGCACGTGGACATGAGCGTGCGCACGAAGAAGAAACTCCCACTCCATGCGTGTCCATGGCAGAGGTTGATGGCCAACACCTAGCTAGCTGCCCAAAGACTGCTTGTGTTGGAGTCTCTCTAGGTGCTTCCCACACAGACCTGGCCGAAGAGCTCAAAGAAAGATGGCCAGCCTGGGCCAAGATGAAAAAAAAGTGAGAAAGGGCAATTATAGTTAACCAACTTTATCTTTAGATCTAGAGTTGGGGCCCTTATAGAGTGGTGCCACTAGAAGTTACATCAGTCGTAAGGCGCTGAAGAAGTTGAGGCTAGGCCTCAAAATCCAAAAATTGGAAGAACCTATAGTCAATATCCTGGTAGATAACCGCGCCATGCGAATCGAGGAGTAGGTCGAGGGAGTCCAGGTGTATTTTTGCCTAGAAGGAGAGGGAAAGACACATAAGATTCTCCATTCCCTCTACTCGTAGAAGATAACCTCCCCTTCGATATAGCACTGGAGCCACTTTGCACTTTCGAGAGCATGAGTGCAAGCTCCCTAGTCCCTCATGTGGGATTAACAAAACCCGCATGTTCCATGTGTCAGGAGTTTACAACTCCTTGGCACATTGCTGCCTTAGCGCTCCTGCCTTTGCCAGATTCGTAAAGAAGGAGCAACTCGAAGAACAGGTCATCTAACCAGCCAAAAGAGAAAGTTAAGATCCATCCCATTATCGCCAGTTTGCTCAAAGAATATGCGGATATAGTTGAAGCACCCTCTGAGGTAGTACCAAGGTCCATTCAGCACCGCATAGAGATAGAGCCAGGCAGTAAACGCCTAAGGGAGCAGTCTACAAAATGTCTCCCAAGGAATTAGAGGAGCTACACAAGCAATTAGACGAGCTCCTAGAGAAAGGATGGATTAGACCCGGTTCATCTCCTTTTGGCGCACCTGTTCTGTTTGTCCCCAAAAAAGAGGGAGAACTTAGAATGTGCATAGACTACAGTCCACACGAGTCTGTATGCAATAACCGTCAAGAATGCAGAACCATTCCCCCGCATAGACGATCTATTAGATAGGGTGCAAGGCTGCAAGCATTTAAAGATAGATTTAAAGTCACGATACCATAGGATAAAAGTTTATCCTGATGATCAATATACGATAACATTCTGGACAAGATATAGGCATTACGAGTTTATAGTGATGCCCTTTGGAGTAACTAATGCACCAGCCACCTTTCGGCGTTGTATGAATGACTTGTTTAGACCGTGGCTAGATAAATTCGTTGTCGTATATTTAGACGACATCCTAGTTTTTAGCAAATCCCTCCAAGAACATGATGCAATCAGACTCGTTCTCAAACACACTTTTCATGCATGTAAACAACAACGCAGCATACTGGCGACATGCGCCCACTCAAAACTCAGAGATATGGCTTTCAGATACGAGTTCACTCTCAATTGGCTATGGCGACTTCAGCGCCCAAACCTCTCACTGTTCACATACACT